GTACGAGGCCATGAAAGAACTTGCGTATTGCGGTCCCCTCGCAAATATGGCTCTCGCCGGCACTGAGAAGAGGTAAGCAAGACCAAAATTTGCGTTTCAAAATGTTTAATATCTAATTAATTGTCCGGAATTATAGGTTTGGACACCTGAAACGAAAAAGAGAGCTGGTGATCAGCAGTGACTTAATTCCAAGGTTCAACCTCTCACGCATTGAATATGGGTCTGTGCTTGACCAAGCTACAACTACCTCAAGACAGAGCTAGCTTCGGTGACCCCAACAGCCGTGACAGATGTTGCCGTCTCCTCAACACCAGAAGATTTCTTCTCATACGGAAAGCAAACCATTCAGCCCGAAGCAGAGGACGAATTGTCGCGGTACCTGCTGGTACCAGTCGACCACCCTCTGTCGAAGATGAGGAGCTTCGAGAGATTGCATCGCCTTTTTCTCAAGTACAACACGGCAGTATATACCTTCAAGTGCTTCGGTGGAAAGATTGTTTAGCGATGCCAACGAGAGAAAGAAATGACTTTATTTGAGTCAAATAAAGACCTTAGAAATGCTTCTCCGCTAAGCCGACAATAACCAGCTGATCGACGTGAGCCGCCGAGGTCAGCCACACCCGCCAGCGTGGAGGAGGGTTGGGGCAGTGGGTAGATCGGATGGCTGTGGGGCAAGAACGGGAGGTGCTCAAAGTTTGCGTAGGGATAGGGGCAATCTGGGCAGGGGGCATCTGATCTGAAATGATAGAGACAAAGTCGGGCGGGGGTAATGAGTATGTTAAACTGGATGGCTCTCAGTCTGTGTGTTTTTGTGAGGTAGTAGGCTGGGGGTTTGGTGTAGACAATGTCCGCATGGAGTGTCGGAGCTGTGCGTAGTGTTGTTTCAGGGTCTTCTTGTAGAAATGTGTCCCGTCCGCCGTGGGCGGGAAAGACCATGGGATTACCGGCGCCTGTATAAGAGTCTCGCAGGCAAGTTGATGAGCCAACTCATTACCAGCAATCCATGTGTGGCCTGGCACCCGCACCACCACGACCGAGGCAGGGGGAAAGTTGTGAAGGGGCGGAGGAGAGGTTGTGCGCCAATCCTCGGGAAGGCGGCACACGCGAATCGCTCGAATCGCTTCCATGGAATCAGTGCAAATGCGGTACCGGGGAGCAGGCGGAAGGGAGGTAAGTTCTTGAGTCGGTAAGCAGAAGATCACAAAAAAACATGCCTGAGGTGGTTGCTGCGAACGCGATAGAACAGCACACGACAAAACAGCACGCGTCAAAACAGCACAGTCAAAACAGCACGCGTCAAAGCAGCACCGCGTCAAAACAGCACAGCGACAAAACAGAACGCGTCAAAACAGCACGAGGCAAAACAACACGCGACAAAATAGCACGCGTCAGAACAGCGCAGTCAAAACAGCACGCGTCAAAGCAGCACCGCGTCAAAACAGCACTGCGACAAAACAGAACGCGTCAAAACAGCACGAGGCAAAACAGCACGCCGCAAAACAGCACGACGTCAAAAGAGCGGAGTGACAGAGGAGTACGCCGCCAAAACAGCACACCAACGAAACAGCACGCACGTAAACGTAGGCTGATTTTTTTTTTTTCTTTTTCGCTGTAGGACACATTATTAGCAGTACGCGGCTAAATGAAGCACTTGCGGCTAACGTTTTGAGCATAACATGTGCATTGACGTTACATTTTATTATTTACCGTTTAGAGGAGTTCATATTATTACCTTCACCTTTATAGACGCTTTCAGGCAGCTGTGCATGGGCGCCGCCATAACTGACTTTCGGTTTTTGTTTCCTCTTATTGCGTTCGTTTCACTTCATTTCCCCAGCAGGGCAGGTTATAGCCACTTTAGGTGCTATTCTGTCCTTCTCCCCAGCATAGGCCCTTGTGGAGGCTCGTGAACGCCCACTTTAGTGGCTCGGCATCTCGGTAAGACAAGAGAAGCTCTGCAATGGCGGCTCAATTTGGCGCGTGTTTAAAGCGTCTATATGTTATAACCTACTTCTAGGCCAACGCGCTGCCTACAAACATACAAACACACGAGGTGTGGGCACTGCGCGTGTGCAGGAACGCGTGAAGCATCTGCGCATACGCCCTGCTAATAGCACCGCAGCGGCGTGACGTCACGGCTGCGAGTGGGTGTATAGCTTTTCGTGCATCTTCAATAATAGAAAACCTTTCCCCCGCTAGCCAATTAAGCTAAATTTGCTGCGGTCTTTTAGAGCGCAGCTCTTAGGGGCCCGTTTCCGGCTTGAGCGCCGTCGGCGTCGGCGTAACCGCGAGGTCACGTGACCCCCCGTGACCCTCCCAGGTCACGTGACCCCCTGAGGTCACGTGACCCCCTGAAGTCACGTGACCCCCTAAGGTCACGTGACCCCCTCAGGTCACGTGTCCCCCCCTCAGGTCACGTGTCCCCCCTCAGGTCGCTTGACCCACCTCAGATAACGTAACCTCCTGAGGCCACGTGACCCCCTCAGGCCACGTGACCCCACTGGGGCCACGTGACCCCCCCGAGGTCACGTGACCCCCACAGGTCACGTGACCCCTCAGGCCACGTGACCCCCTGAAGTCACGTGACCCCCTAAAGTCACGTGACCCCCTCAGGTCACGTGTCCCCCTTCAGGTCACTTGACCCTCTTCAGATCACGTAACCCCCTGAGGCCACGTGACCCCTCAGGCCACGTGACCCCACTGAGGCCACATAACCCCCTGAGGTCATGTGACCCCCTGAGGTCACGTGACCCCCTTGGGGACACGTGACCCCCGAGTTCACGTGACCCCCCTGACGTCACGCGAGTCCCCTTAGGTCACGTGACCTCAAGGAGTCACCTATCCCTCAGTATGCTTCCATCTTCCTCCTCAAGAGCTGCGCTCTAACCGGCGTTACAGGGAATTGTAAACGACTTCCATATTTTAATGACGGATTGATTGTTAATCCGTTAACGTTTTATATCGATATATAAATACGGCACCTTATTTACCCAACGAAAAAATTAAGTTTAAAAAAAAATCATGAGCCCTTCCAGCCTGTGAAGGTGAATGACCAGCGAACCTGTTTTAGGACACGACACAGACGTGACACGGGATTTTGAACAAAGGTATACGAACACATTTATTGTCTCGACCAACGGTCATCGTGACGAAGGGTACCCACACACATGTCGAGGACTAACGCCGCCCCGAGGAGCCGGAGGATACTAGATGCACGCGACGGGACCGCCACTCGGCGGAAGGAAAAGAAACTAGGCACGCAAGAACTTGGAACGACGACAGAGAGAAGGCGGTGCGCTTTCCTCCTCCTTCCCGCTAATTTTTCCGCTAAATTCGTCGGGGAAATTTTTGCGATGAATTCGGCGGGAAAATTTTTCTGCTCGATTTGATGGGGAAATGTTTCTTCTAAATATGGCGGGGAAATTTTCCCCCTAAATTTGGCGGGAAAACGTTTCCGCTAAATTTGGCCGAGAAATGTTTCCGCTAAGTTTGGCGGGAAGATGTTCCCGCTAATTTTGGGAGGGGGATTTTTTCGCTAAATTTGGCGGGGAAGTTTTTCCGCTAAATTTAGGGGGGAGAATTGAGTTTTTGTTGACGCACACGAAAAATCCATGGAACCCTAGCTATAAACAGCTTCGCTGTAAAATGGGCCTTTTTTAGAGTCTGGTCACGATCGTGGCGCGCCCTCGCGGGAATCGCTCGAAACAGTTTTGGGGGCTCCGGGACCGTTGCTCCGTCGTCCGCGCCAGCGCCCGCGTGTCTCCCGCTCCGTGTGTTTACGTGTGTTCCCTCGTTCACTATTTCGTCTTTCTGAACGTGTTTTTCTGTCATCTATTGGTGTGCATATTTTATTCGAAATGACTGAGGACGAGCCTGGAGGACAAACGGAAGCTACTTTCTACGATATGGACGCTGTCGAAGCCGCTGTCTGTAGCCTGTCTTAGTTTAGCGTCTGATTTACACGCGCTCTCATGGAAATGATAGGTGAGGTGAAGGTATGCGATACAGTCGCGATCGTTGACAGCGTTGTGCTCGCGTTAGCGCCGGCTTCCATATCATGAATAACGTAATCCGGCCGTGAGACGGTCAAGTTCGTATAAATGCTTAGCAGACGCGCCAGATTACACCCGGAATTACCGACCTTCTGTTGTCTTACCGAGATATCAAGCCACTGAAGCGGGTTTTGACGAGCCTTTACAAAGGTCAATGTTGGGGAGAAGGACACAGTCGGATCTAAAATGGCAGTAACCTGTCCTGCTGTGGTAATGATGGAGCGAAGTGGTCAAAATAAGAGGAAACAAAAACTGAAGGTCGGTTATGGAGGCCCCCATACACAGCTGCTGCAAAGTGTCTGTATGAAGCAAGATACAGTTATGGGACTGTGACAGTCCATCGGTTCAGCATCGGCACCAAGGAAGACGGCAAAGATACTTGTAGGAAGGAACTCGACGGCACGAGAACAAACAGAACCTTCACCAAAGCTTGGAGCCGATCGCACTATCTCTTCCGATGATCGACTCTAAGCACTCCTCCGTGTTGTGTATACATACACTGCATCCGTGCGACCCTGTTTAGTCTCGGGCCAGCTGTTTCAGCCACACGCGCGTTCTATCGCCTGCTCAACAAACGATTGTATACTTGTCGCGAATGTCACCTCCTTATCGCTTTACATCGACTGTGTTGTATCACACATACCGTTTTTCGTTTGCTACTCGGTGGGCGACCCTGCGGCTCCCTTTAGATAAAACACGCCAGTCCCGGGAACGACACGGTGTGCGATATTCAGCTCCTTGAGTGTTCAGGCCGGGTGCTAATCCCCGACCGCAGACGACGAGCGATTGGCGCGCCAAGCTAATCACTGTCCTTGCGTTTCGATGTCGACGACCTGCGCTTCTTATCGCGGTGAGCATCAAACACACACCCCGACTCCCGTAAAGACGCTGACAAAAGGTGCACACGAAGATGCTCGCTGCAGCGTGCGATGCGGCGGTATGTGAAGGGTTCGATAAGTCCTTTTATCGACTCCCTCTCGTCATAAGAAGGCTGTACCAGGGCTCGCGGCTTATTGAAGGCGTTATCACATGCAATATACTAACGTAAGACAGTCTCACCTACGGACACCATCCGAGCGAATGCGGAAAGGCTGGAGCCTGGATTTTCCTTCTTGCTTCACGGAACAGAACTTTCCTTCGGTACGTATAAATCATTCTAATGTTTTCAATGCGCCGCCTAGAGCACACGGTGTATAGGGGGTATTCACTGGACGCCATATTTGAGGGCGATGTTTAGAGCGCATGGCCAGAACGAGCTCTCATTCATAGGCTGCTAAGACCAGCCATCTTGATGGTGCGGAATGCCAATTGCAGAAGAACTGAGAAAGCTCGCCGTCAGCGCGCGCTCAGCAGTCGGGAACACAGCTATGGCCACCAGCGAATACTCTCTATAGACCTTTCAAAAAAAAGAGCGTGCGGCCGTTGCCACTTTGAGTGTTCGTGCGTATGGCGCGTACTTTCACGGCCGTTCGATTATGACTCTTTGCTCGCTTTCCGAAATGACGAAAACGCGCGTGCTGTGCTGTGCAGATCGCACGCTGGACTGTGCCATTTCGTAAACATCGGAAAGGTCTATAAGCGCGCAACAGACGCACCCTCGACCCTGTACATTTTTGGGTTGCCCACAGACACAGGGTATGCAACCGCCAAGGGCATGGGCGAAAAGGTTTAGAGACGGACGTCGTGCGTGAGTTTGTTCCGAATGTTTATCTTCACCGTGTTACAGTTTCCGAAAATCTACGGTTGTCGGACTATCACTGCGTCGTCGACGGGTACACAGATAATTTTAATAATCATATACACGAACTCAATTCATTTTATTTGCTCCCATAATACAAAATGGGCGATGGGGGCAGGAGAAAAAGCTGCCGAATTGCAGCTTGACGAAGCCCCTGCCCCCTACAGGGAGATCGGTCAGCGGGATACAATTACATCATTTGAAACAAAACAAAAAAGAGCACTTATGCACCACCCCGAAAACTATGTTATTAGGAGGATAATATTTCACGCAATTTATTCTTATTTAAATTTTCGATGCAGACACCTTCTCTTTGAAAAAATTCAATGCTATTGGAAGTGTGTGCTGAATCATCTGAAGACCGTAATTAATACTTGGACGTGGTACTCTCAAGGTTCCGGCGCTGCGCATATCGTATGCAATATTTTTGTTAGTTAATTTGGAAATTTGCCGTAGTAGATGATAAGAAAATTTAAGTGATGCCATGTACATAGTTGCTAGCTTATATTTAAAATATTTTTTGATTTTCATTACTTTATGTTTAGAAAAAAGAGGTTCAGTATGTGCGCAATAAGACTCATTAGTTACGATGCGAATTGCTTTTTACTGCAGCAAAAACAATCTATTAACGTTAGTACTTGTCGTAGTTCCCCAAACTAGATGACAGTATGACATAAGATGATTAAATAATGCATTATAAATTAAAAGTTTTACACGAGCTGGTAATATATAGCGGTGCTTATATAGAATACCTACGATTTTGAACATGCAAGTCTCATAATATATATTCGTGAAAAATCACTCCTAATCTTTTAACACTAATTACAAACTTAACCTCCGAGGAATTCATCATTAATTTTTGTGGTGGCCTTACACACTGTACATTCCGGTTTGAAGGTAATTGCATTTGTTTTACTTTCATTAATTTTCAGAAAACTGGAGACAGTCCACCAACTAAGTTTTTCAAGGCATATATTTGCATCGGTAATTAAACTATTAATGACTTTTCCAGAAAAAACTCCTCTCTGTTACGTCACGGCGCGTTTGGTGGCGCGTCGGGCGCACTTCCAGTCTGGGGCTGTGGGCGGAAGTCACCATGCGGGACGTGCATTTCTGTGTTGTTTTGAAAGAAACCAGACAAAAACCTGCACTGTCGTCCAAACGCCGCGACGGGGGCTGTATTAAATGTGTCGGAAAAGGTTTGAAGGTAAATTTTCATGTGCCCGGTTCGTAAGAGAACGTGGATAGGTGCCGCGAAAAAGGGAAACCAGACTCCGTCGGACCACGACTGCTTGAGCGGGAAGCATTTGGGGTTGACTTCACGGATACTTGTGGTCGTCATATTTATTTTTGCTCCCAGATAAACGTGGGAAAACCGCAAAGTTATACGGGCCACCTGCGGACTATGTTCAGTGCGCGCGTCGTCAAGTTCAAATGGCCGCCTAATCGTTCGAACTCCCTGCAGGGGGCACCTGTGAAAGCAGGTGTTTGGAGAGTGGCGTCTCCACGGACCCCGAGCTCCGCAGGGGGCGCCTGCACCTTAGGTGCTAGGTGCTTGGTGAGTAGCGTCGCCACGGACCCTAGCCACGTGGGCCACCATACCCGCACGCAGGGGGCGCACCTACTTGAGTAGGTGCTTGGTGAGTGGCGTCACTACGAACCCCGAGCCATGTGGGTTCGCCCACCCACGTCTGGCTGTGCGTGGCTTAACCCGTGTCCGGGGAAAAGGGGATCCTGGTGGTTGAGCTGAGCCCGGGGTATGTTTGGACCCTTCGAAGCCCCCCGGACGAGGCAATACACCGCCTCGGCCCCTGCTTCTCGTAGACGGGAGTCCTGGCTTGGTGTAACCAGGATGTTTCAGTCAGTCGCCTCTTCTACCCTCTTCTTCCTTCTTCTACTTTTTCTTTCATCTCTTTCTGTTTTTTTCTACACTCTCTTCCTCCCTTTTTCACGTTCTTAGGCGGCAAGGGCCAACCTTGAGTGGAAACAGGCCCTGTCCCTGCAACCTCACTATGGTATAGTGCCCAGGCAGCACTGGTCGAGTAATTGTGTCAGCCAAGCATTTCTTGTTATGGCACATTACCTACCCACTTGTTGGACTCCATGGTAGGCGGTGCACCCGGGCACTGAACTTTCTTTCCCTTCTTTATGAGTCTGCAAAACAAATTCTTCTTTGATCGGGCTTCGAAAAGAGTCCGCACCGAAGCACGTACACTTGATGTTCCAGTAGTAGTTACTCCGCAGTATCCAAAGTTTTTGGTGATGCACTCAGAAACTGAGAAACCACTAAGTAAATTGTCCCCTTTTCTTGTCGCGAAAACTCTAGAGGGTGTTGTGGGAAAGACTTTTCAGGCTAAGAAGATGACATCAGGCGACCTCCTCGTAGAGGTTCACACAAAGATCCAGAGTGATGCACTACTAGCATTGAACTCAGTTTCCGATTGCAAAGTCACCGTAACCCCCTACCGCACACTAAATTCAGTACAAGGCGTAATTTCTGAAAATGACTTGTTAGTAACTCCAGAAATGAAAATTGTAGAAGGCCTCTCCAGCCAGGGTGTGATCGGCGCACGGCGCATCACATTTCGACGTGACGGCGTGGAACACAAAACGAAACACATCGCACTGACCTTTGCAATGACCGCCCTTCCACAAGCTGTCAAGGCAGGTTACCTGCATTGCCGCGTTCGGCCATACGTACCGAACCCGCTGCGCTGCTTCAAGTGCCAGCGGTTCGGCCACGGCTCGCGGAGCTGTCCCGGATCTGACACGTGTGCGAGGTGCTCTAGCAAAGACCATCTCGCAGATCACTGTGAGAACGATCCAAAGTGCACTAATTGCAAAGGGAAGCACGCTGCACACTCTCGGTCTTGTTCTCTCTGGAAGCAAAAAAAAAAATACTTACATTCAAGGTCCAAGAGAACATTCCATACCACGAGGCAAAGAAGCGTGTCTTGCTTGCCTAACGTGGTTCATATGCAGAGGCTGTGCACAGGGGACCTGCACGGCCGATGGTGTCCATGGGGACGCGGACATCAGCGGATGACGTGCGTGTCTCGTCGGGGTCCCCCTCCACCTCGGGAGTGGTGCGGCAAGCACCACCTCCGAGCTCTAAGAAAGATGTGGGCGTGCCCACACCCAGTAAGGAGCAGGGCTTGGCAACCCTTGCTCCTCCCACTGCCCTGTTCCCCAAAGGACGGGGCCTGGCACCCCCCCTTCTGGTACCCAGAGGAACCCTGGCCTGCCAACCAAGCCAGTGGCATCCAAGGGTCAGCCATTGGCGACAACCACCGACGAGCCAATGGATCAAAGTGGGATCACGTCTGACGAAGACAGGCCCACGTCGGGGTCGGAGTGTTCCCTTCCTGGCACTGGTGGATCCACCAGTGAGCTGACGGGTGCCCACTAAAAAGAAAAACACTCCTCGTATGAAGATTGATTTTAAGACCTGAAAATATATTTCTTGTTTGTATTTAGGCTTGCCTTCATTATTACCCTTTTACCTTTTCATACTTCACTCTTTTAAATTATGGCCTGCATTATGCAGTGGAAGTGCAGAGGTCTTTTCTGTAATTTAGATGACGTGAGGCTCTTGTTGCAGAAGCATGAACCTTCTGCATTTCCTGCAAAAAACTTACCTCAAACCTCCCAACAGAAATTTTCTTAGTTCATATCAAGTCTACAAGAAGGACCACGTGACTACCTCTGGCGCTTCCGGTGGAGTTGCTATTGTTGTAGACAGTGGCACTCCTGCCTGTGTGGTCCCCCTAGACACGCCTCTGGGGGCCGTTTAGGTGAGGTTGCTACAGCAACGCTTCATTACAATTTGCTCCATTTACATTCCCTCTTCATTTGCCCTGGAACTCGCCCAACTTGAAACTTTAGTTGATCAGCTACCTGAACCTTTTATTTTAATAGGTGATTTTAATGCACACAGCCCCGTCTGGGGCACTGTCCGAACTGACACTCAAGGTTCTGTTGTGGCGCGGTTTTTATCTGTCAGAGAAGTGTGTGTACTAAATACAAGAGAGCCAACATATTTTAGTTATGATATATCACTCTTTTTCATGCATTGACCTCACTATTTGTTCCACTGCACTTTTTACAGATTTTATTTGGAATGCATTGGATAACCCTTACGGAAGCGACCATTCTCCGGTGTATCTTACTCCCTTAGAAGTCCTGCCCAGGCTGCCTTGCCGTTCCCCCCGTTGGAAGATCTCTTTAGCATATTGGGACTTTTTTCAGTCAAATATTCCTTCTTCCATAGATCTTTCGCAAGCGACCTCCATGGACGAAGGAAATGATCTCATAACAACAGCAATAGTTGAGGCAGCCCGTCTGTTCATCCCACAGGCATCCGGCAAGCTTCCGAGACGTCCAAAATCATGGTGGGATAATGAGTGTAAAGAATCCCGAAGCCGCTAAAAACTGTTTTTGGGCAAGATTTAGGAGGTATCCTACTTCCAGAAACCTCTTAGCATTTAAGCAATTACGTGCAAAAGTCCGCTATATTAGGAAACGGGAAAAAAAGAGATTTTTTTGCTCGTATGCGTCTTCCATTAATAGTTTCACGCCAGCGAAGGTTTTCTGGGATAGAGTAGGTAGAATAAATGGCGACTACCATCCTTTCTCAATCCCCTTGCTGTTAGATGAGAAGGGAGAAACATTTTCATCATTATATGAACAAGCCAACGCACTGTGTAGGCACTTTGCACGAGTCCAAGTGGGAGAGAATTCCAATTCGTAGGTCAGAGGATTGCACTGAAGAATATAATTGTCCTTTTTCCCTTGTCGAGCTTCGTCGAGCTCTTGCTGCTGCAAAGCCTACATCCCCTGGGCTTGATGCAATTCACCCTAGCATGCTTTCTCATTTACCTGAAAAATTTCTAGTCATTCTCCTCCAGTTTTTTAACATCATCTAGGTAAAAGGGAAATTTCCTAGCACCTGGAAACATGCTATTGTCATCCCCATCTTAAAACAAGGAAAGGAAAGAAGTAAAGCCACGAGCTACATTCCAATTTCCCTTACTATGTAGCTGTTTAGGGAAGACTTTTGAGCGGCTGGTTAACGACAGGCTAATCTACATACTAGAAAAAAAGAATCTAGTAAGCAATTTCCAGTATGGTTTCCGCACTTCCAGGTCTACAGTTGACCATCTTGTACGTCTTGAGACGTAGGTCCGCAAGGAGCAATTTTGTCTGTCTGTATTTTTCGACCTTGAGAAAGCTTACGACACCGCCTGGCGTACGGCATACTCCAGGACCTTATCTCGATGGACATAAAAGGGAGAATGTTGAACTGCATTGCTGACTTTCTGCAGGATCGTAGCCTTCAGGTGTGCCCGGGAGCTACAATCTCCGACCCTTTCCCCCAGGAGAATAGCGTGCCGCAGGGATGTGTCTTAAGCGTCACTTTGTTCATTATAAAGATAAATTCTTTATCTCAAGTAATTCCGCCCACGATCTCTCATTCTCTTTACGTCGACGATGTCCATGTTTGTTTTTCTTCGTGTAACTTAGCTACCTGTGAGCGTCAAGTTCAACCTACGGTAAACAGGATGAGTAGGTGGGCTGACTAGAATGGCTTTCGGTTTTCTGCCGAGAAGACTGTGGCTGTTTGTTTCTCTCGGAAACGAGGAATGTCTCCCGAGCCATCATTGTATATTAAAGGTACACCCATTCCTGTTAAATCGGAGCATACGTTTTTAGGCCTCGTATTTGATAGTAAATTAACTTTTGGCCCTCATATAAAGGAACTAAGACTAAAATGTCAGCGGAAGTCAAATCTTCTTAAGGTCCTCGCACACCGTTCTTGGGGCTCCCACCGTGTCTGCCTTTTGCGAATCTACAGCGCCTGTGTTCGCTCAGTTTTGGATTATGGAAGCATTGTTTACGGTTCTGCCAAACCCTCTACACTTAAAATGTTAGACCCAATCCATCACCAGGGGATCCGACTGGCAACCGGAGCCTTTCCAACGTCC